GGGCAGTATAAATACATAAAACAATGATTTTATGTATTAAAAGCTACTTATATTTTGAAAAATAGAGAACTTAATCTACAGCTACCTTTCCAGTCATAACTGAATGACTGAATGTAATTCTATCTTTTTACAAATCAAAGAAATATACTTTGGTTGTGGACAAAAATCAGTAGAGAAAATCCAAATGCATCTACAGTCATACTTTTAGAGATGGATGTTCAGTAACTGGCTAATGTATTGGAACATAATACATAACTACAATCAATTACATGTTTATGGGCCACCAACAAACCCAGAAGATCAATTTTTAAAATGCATAATTTATCGGGGGCATGGTGCTGCCAGCAGGTCAATCTGTACCTGTGAGGTGAGTGCATCAGCAGCCTGATGGCAACGTCAGACTTTCAGATACCCCAAAATTGCTGCTGTGCCTTTGGCCAGATCCCAAAAACTTGGGGCAAAGTTTACCAAGAAAGTAAATGGCCAAAAGTTAGGTATGTGGGAGACACACCCACAAACCACCTCCGGCTCAGCTATATAATTGGAGACATGGCCTCTCTGGTTCCTGATCGAACTGCTTAATGGCCATGATTCTAGAGACTCAGAAATGAATCTTGAAACCGAAAGGCTTTTGGCAGAAATGCGTCCTGTTCCTGCAGTAGGTTACTGGCACTGGGCCACTCCAGGTGGGAATAGGTTTCGTGCCTTGGCCTGTTCCTCCTGGTGGCCTAGTGAACACCATCCTCCAGAGGCCACTGGACAATCAGGTTTGGGCCTGCAGTGACGAGACACAGGGGGGCCTCACCACATGGGGGTGGAGCCAACTCTTTCTCCCCATCCCATAGAAACCCCAAGTCACCTCCTACAAACGGCCTCTCTGGCTCCTGATCAAGTTGATTAATAGCCATGATACCGGAGACTCAGAAATAAATCTTGAAACCCAGTGGCTTTTGGCAGAAATGCATCTGGACTGCATACAAGGTGGTCGCCAGCTCAGAGCTTATTGGAAAGCTCCTACAAGCGGTTCTCTGGCATGACCATGGCTCCAGAGGCAAAAGGACTTAATCCAGAGCTCGGAAGCTTGCGGCAGAAAAGTGAATGGACCATGCATTAAACTACGGCGCCACGCCTCCCCAGGAGGGAAAGGGCGTTGCTCCCTTCTGCCTTTTTCCCCCCTGGCAGCAAGGTGGCCGCCGCCTCAGAGGTTATAGGAAAGCCAGGTACGAGCTGGCGGTGACAGGGCAACTGCAGTCTCATGGGAAGGGGGGCAGTACCGGCATGTCCTTCATGCCCTACCAAGGTCACGAGTTACCCCCCACGAGCGGCTCTCCAGCATGGCCATGACACCAGACACACAGAAACCAATCTCGTAATTATCTCGCTCTTTGCAGAAATCCAAAATTGTGGCCACGTGACATTATATGATTCTCATAACCAGCTATAGAAAACAAAATATTTCACAATACCTTTTCAGAAATTCTGATTGTTTCGGGTGAAATTCTAAACAATAATGGTGCATCTTTTGTCAAAATAATGAATGTAATCAATGTAGAGAAGAGTTAAGTAGAAATCATCTGCCTCATAGGCATTTGGAGGGGTGGGACGGGGAGTATACTGGGGTTCTTGGTGGTGCAAAATGAGTACTGGTGAAGGGAAAGGTGTTTGATCATTGTATGACTGAGACTTAAACCTGAAAGCTTAGTAACTTTTCCCACAGTGATTCAATAAATAAATATAAAAAGTAAATAAATAAATAAATATATTAAATAAAAATGCATAATTTACATGAAATAGAAAATTCCTAAAAATAAATGATTAAGATATTCAGGATCTTTATAAAGAAAATTTTAATAATATTAAATGCAGTGAAAAGTTCTATGTGAATAAAAAGAGAAGCTATATTTATGAAAGGGAAGACTCAATTTCACATGGAACCACTCCCAACTTTTCTAATCTCCCAAAATTAATTTATAAATTAAACACAATTTCACTAAATATTACAGCAGAAGTAGGCATATGGAACCTTTGCCAAGCTAATGCTAAAATTTATGAAGAACAATAAAAATCCAGGAATAGCCTCAAAATTTTTGTAAAGAGCAGGTGTGTGTGTGTGGGGGGATGGGTTACACATCTTAGCACATTTACTAAAAGCTTACCAAAAAGATGGCAATGTATGGCGAGTTGCCAATCATTGGCAGAAATGATGATAAAGTGATTCTAAGACAATTGTGAGCTAGGGAAAATGCAAATCCTTCACGCACATCATATAAAACATTCGATTTCAGATTAAAGAAAAGACCTAAACACAAAAGGTAACACTGACACATGAACGCTTCCTCATGTCCCACACAGCCCTACCCCCAGGAGCCCCAACTCTGGCCAACCCACTGGATGGATTCGGATTTGCGAAGGATGCTCTTCAAGAACCCCAAAGAATTGAGTCCAATCCTTCCTTCCCACTTAAGATGGAGCGGACAGACTCCCAGATCACCAATCTCCAACCTGTTCACCCTTTCTTTTCTTTTTTTTTGGGGGGGGTCACACCGCCTGGCACTGAATTCAGGAATTACTCCTGGCAGTGCTCGAGGGACCATATGTGATGCTGGGAATCAAACCCAGGTCAACTGCATGCAAGGCAAAAGCCTCACTCGCTGTACGTTTGCTCCAGCCTCCGTTTGCTCTTTCTCTGCTAGAGGTTCCTTCTATCTTGCTACCAGTCCTGATAAGGGAGGCAGTGGAGAGATTTGGGGACCGTTTGCACTGGGCTCCTGTAGCCAATGGAGCCCAAGAAGTCAAACCATCATTTTCAGCTCCCCAAAGCTTCTAATGGCAGCACATGTCAGACTCAGCTCAATAGCTTCAAAGCCTGTCACTTGGCCCTGCACACTATAAAAGATGGGACTCTCACCATCCTTTCAATTTTGATGAGCTCTCCAGACATCTGCTTCAAAATATTCCTAGTTTTCCCTTAAATGTTTCAGCAGGGGCTCACAAAAAGGCCACTTTTAAAATATCCTTTTTTTTTATGTTCAAATTATTTACTTCTTGAAATATTTATTTCCTTCGGGGAACCTAAAAGCTGTCCATGTTTTAAAAGAATGACAGGGTTCTATATGTTCCTTCTTAGAACCCCAGAGGCACTGGTCAGACCAGAGATAATCTCTATGACATTCAATCAAAGTTCTTTGATTGAATTCCTGTTCTTCTAACAGATTAGAATGGATTCACTTCGTAATGCCCATGGTTTCTTCTGTAATCACCGGGTTTCCTTTTTCTTTTTTTAACTTTCAAATCAGATGGTTTTAGTATAACTAGGACCTCATACAAGCACTGGAAAACATTTTAAAATTTAATAACCGCATCTAATCTTACAAAGTCTCAGAGGTTTGACTCGGAGAAGAACTTGCTTTTTTTAATTAGCTCCATTTCTCTGAAAAAGTACAAAAAAAAAAAATCAAGTGGGAGGTTGGGCAAAAAACTCTTAGCTATAACACCAAAAAAAAATGGACTTCATAAAAATTAAATTACTACACTGAATTCATGAAATTTTGGAAAATTAGAAGGTAAGGCTGAGAAAATATTTGCAAGCCACAGGCACATATAATAAAAGTCTTATATCTAGACTAGATAGGAAATCTTATAATTCATGTAAAGGAGGAGGAAAAATTCAATTAAAATAGGAGCAATCTGAAAGACATCTCTCCAAAGAAAAGATACAATGGTCTCCAAGCACTTTTAAAGATGTTTGACATTGTCAGTCACCAGGAGAAAGCAGGTGAAAACCTACAGTGGGTTCCCACTTCATCATGAGTATGCATATCCTTTTTGAAAGAAAAAGTAACTGCAACCAAAGCATGAGTGTGCAGATAGAACAGGAACTGTCACAGTTTGCTGGTGGGAGCGTAAAATGGTACAGCGTCTTGGAAAATGGCTGGCAGTCCTTGAAGGGTGAACCAGTCAGTCACCATATGATATAGCAATTTCACTTCCAGGGATGAAAGAAAGAGATTTAATTTTAAAAGAAGGAAAAATCATACTCTCCACCACTGATGGACCAGTAGTAGCAGACCACATTGGGTGGGGTATATAGAAGAGGGAAACCAATCTTGATTAAAAAATATTAGCACACAAGCCTCAATCTATAGCAACACCTTAGTAATCTCTCATACAAGAGCTTAATGGCCCCAGGGTGATATACAACAATCTTCACACACTTTCCTCTAAAGAAACTTTTTTTGGATAATTTTTAACGAATTATTCATAATGAGCAATACAAGGAAAATTATGTAGGGTTTGCTACTGGGGAAGTCTGGGTAGCGGTTGGGAAAATTCGAAATAATGTTGGTTGGAAGTTTTAATGGTGGTGGAATTGGTGTTGGAATATTGAATGCAATAAGTTATTGTGAACAACTTTATAAAAATAAAAAAATTAAAATAAGAGAAGGAAAAACAGACTCTTGCTCCCTGCTTCCTAGTCACCCACCTCTCCCCCTTCCCTGGTCCCCTCCGAGACCCTCCCTTTTCTCATTCTTTAAAAAAAAAGTATTAAACAACCATTATTTACAGAGTTAACTGAAAGCTGCAGTTTAGGCATCCCATACTTCAACACACAGGGCTGGAGCGATAGCACAGCGGGTAGGGCGTCTGCCTTGCACGCAGCCAACATGGCCGACCCGAGTTCGATTCCTCCACCCCTCTCGGAGAGCCCGGCAAGCTACCGAGAGTATTCGATATGCCAGACACAGTAACAACAAAGTCTCCAATGGAGACGTTACTGGGCCTGCTCGAGCAAATCGATGATCAACGGGAGGGCCTTTTACTTTTTTATACTTCAACACCAATCTCTCCATCAGAGTCAACTTCCATCCACCAATGTTCCCAGATTTCCTCCCCACCCCACCCCCCACCCCAATTCCCACCCCCAGCCTGTCATAAACAAATAAATATATAAAGGAAGGAAGGAAAAATAAAGCATCCCTTCTGCAAGGGTTTTGACTCACTGAGGTTCCACTTGAGGCCCGTTGTCGTGACATGGTTGCACGGCTGTCCCACAGGAATGAGGCCACACCAGGAGCCCTCCAGGCCAGTGTCCACACGCAATTTGTGCTTTCCCTGCGGCCAAGAAGGAGTGATCATTAGGAAGAGGAAGGAAATGCCAATCCAAGTGCGGGCACCACACCTTGCTCACATTCACTACCCTTGATGGGCCATCCTGCTTTATCCTATTTTTTTGTTGCGTAACATCTACCTGACTTAATCCTAGCCATAATTTCACCAGGTGAAATCATGACTTTGCCCAGTAAGAACGCTCAAGTTAGAGATGAGATGTGTCCAGGACCAGAGAGGTAACCCGGGTTGATTTAGGAGTCCAACCCACACCAGCCCGGTGCACACTGACCTGTTTCCCCATGGAAAGGTACAGTGTGATGGGGTACACATTTCCAGGATCCTCGTCAAGCCCTTGTTCAAGCGGAAGTCAAGTGGTGTTGGGCCAGGGAGATACTTCACAGGGACAAAGCACATGCTTTGCACGTAGGAGGCCCTGGTGCAGCAGTTCTGGTCATGAGCACTCCCAGGAGACTGCACCAAGCCAGGAGTAGCTCCCAGCAGGGCTGGGTGTGCTCCAAACTCTCCTCTCATCCCACACCCTTGCCCCCAGGAATAAGCAATGCTTCCTAAAAAAATAACCTCTGGCTTTCTCTGATTACTGGGCTTCCAATTCTGTGAGTTGACTGTCAGTCTTTCTGAGGCTGTTCCCCAGGTCAACCACCCAAGGAAGTACTCCGTGAGAAATACCTCTCCCAAGAAACGGGGGCGTCTGCCTGAGCACCTGCTATGCTTCCTCCATTCTGATGGTGAAAAGGTCTGTAACTGACCATCGTTCCAATTTTCCTGCCTCCAAGAAGCTAAAGTCGTGAGTAAGGAACGTTCAAGCTCCACTGTCTGCTTCAGAATAGCTGGAAACTCCTCTTCTTCCTCAAGCTCCCATTTCTGTTTTCTTCACTATCCTTAGGGGATACTGTTATTTATGGTAATAGATCTCAAGTCTTTATGGGAAAATGCCAAGGTGAGAATGCATTAAAATATAATTTAAAAGGGTGTTTTTCATAATTCATATAACTCTGAAAGAGTAAGTCCCAAAAGATATTCTTTAACAAAATATTGTACTTAGTACAGGACATAGTACCGGACTAAAGCTTCTAGGTTAGGTCAGCATTAGTCATCATTTTTCTTTCATCCTAATTATACTAAAACTTCTAAGGACTTACTATATGAACAGACCTTATGTGTTTTTAGCTGAAAGGATTTCAGTAGGAAAATAGTTCTCTATATTCCATATTGGTTTATTCAAAGTTTCACTATCTATACAACTCATATGTCTATTTCTATAGGGATATTCAATCAGAGGAACAGATTCAACTGGAAGGGTTTAAATATAGTCAAACGCAAAGATTTTTTTTTCACCATTGTTTTGGGCACCAGAGAGAGAGATTACAACGGGAAAGTTGTTTGCATTAAATGCATCTGAACTATATTTGATTACTAAGCCCTCCCCCCTGTCCTTTATTGTTGTTGTTTTTTTTTGAGTCATACCCTGTGGTGCTCAGGGCTTAATCCTGGCTCTGGGCTCAGGGATTACTTCTCGAGGGCTTGAGGGACCATATGGGATGTACAAGATTGAATCTAGGTTGGCTGTATGCACGAAAAATGTCTTACCTGCTACACTATCACTCTGCACCCAAACCCCATTTTTTTTGGGGGGGGGGGAGGCATACTTGATGATACTCAGGGATTACTTCTGGATCTGTACTCAGTAATTATTCTTGGTGATGCTCTGGGGACCAAATGGGATGCCAGGAATCGAACCCGGGTTGGTCACATGCAAGGCAAGCACCTTACCTGCTGTGCACTATCTTCCGTAATTCCTGGCACCCTTAAGCACTGCTAGAAATGATTCCCTGAGCACAGAGCCCAGAGGAAGGAGTAAACCCTGAGTACAGGTGAGTACGGCTCCCAAATAATAATAATAATAATAATAATAATAATAATAATAATATTTTTTTGTTTTGTTAGTGGGCCACAAAAAATAATTCGCCCTTCCCTTTAGCACTGCATCTCCAAGCATGCCTGTGTTTCACACCTAGGATGACAGGTCACGTACTGACAGGGGGAGCCTCCAAGTGCTACAGGAGCGGCCCACTGAATTATTTTCTGCACTGTAGCACTGTCCTCCTGTTGTTCATCGATCTGCTCGAGCAGGCACCAGTGACATCTCACAGCAAATTGTGAGCCTTGTTGTTACTGTTTTTGGCATATCGAATACGTCATGGGGAGCTTGCCAGGCTTTGCTATGTGGGCGAGATACTTTTGGTAGCTTGCCAGCCTCTCTGAGGGGGCGGAGGAATTGAATCTGGGTAAGCTGCATGCAAGGCAAACACCCTACCCACTGTGTTATTGCTCTGATCTGAATTATTTTCAGTGCAACAGAAAATACAGCTGAACTCAGTGCCTGCCACTGGAAGAAAGAGCAGGAACCGTGTAGATGCAGCACCAAGGTTATGGACGACACAGGGAGAGAAACAGTGGTAATGCAGAACCAAGACATATTGCCAAGGGAAACTAAAACCTATGCAAAGCCAGCAAGAGACTTTCTTTTGAACATCATTTACACACACACACACACACACACACACACAAACACACACACGTATGAGAATGGAAATGCAGTAGGTAGCTATAAAAAGGGCAGGCAGGTCAGGAAGACAGCTTTCAGAGCTGGAGTGACCCTTCATGCCCCGTACGCAGAAGACCCCAGTTTTGTCTGATTCCTGGGACCACATGCTTCCCCCTGTATAAAATCTTTGAGAAGTGGCCAGTGGGAGGCGCTGATGGCTTTCCCCATCGCCATCTGCGTTCGCGGGTCCCCAAGCTGCTCCCCCAGCTGGAGAGGCCCAGGCCATGGGGCAGATTGTGGCGAAACAAGGGTTAATTGGTTAAAAAATTGCCATTTATTCCATTCTCCCCACAGGCCTGCCCCAGTCTCTCTGGGCCCCCCATTCTAGTCTCTCACTGCCCCTCATTCCCATCTCTTCCTGTCTCTCCCGCTCACCTCTCCACTCTATCTCGCAGCCTGGGCTCTCTCTCTCTCTCCATGTGCTTGCTTCTGTATTCTTCTACATTCTCCTTTTTCTGTCCCCCTTACTAGACTCTCCACGGTCCAACTTGCTGCCCTGCTCTCTTTCTCTCCCCAGCTATCTTGTCTCTCTAACTCCCCTGTACTCTGGACTGACACTGCACCTAGTCAGGTAGCAAAATCAACATAAGAAAACCCTTCCACCAGATTCAAAGGAACACCACCTGGGGTATTCCAAAGCCCTTCCTGACTGCGTAAGGGCAAAATACCTCCTAAGGTGTTTTTCTCCTTTCCTTAGTCCAATAACTATCAACATCTTAATACTAGTTGTTTTTGTATGGACACAGTAAGAGATAAATGGAGGCTTGTAGGGCAGCTCTCCTGGAAACATCTTGCCACAGCTGACTCAGACTACAGAGCTCAGGCCAGATTAATCTTTCCTAACCCTAGCAAGGTCCTAGTCTCCTCATTACTTTTTGGATCATGACAGCATTTGTCCATGAACAAGCTCTTAACTTATAGTTAAGCATTATGGCACTTTGGCCAGGCCCATCTTGTTGCCAGGGTATCACATAGCTTACCACTTGCCCTGGTTCCATCCAGTCCCTTGTCTGGATCCTGCTTTTGGGGGTGCTAGGAAGTAAAGGCAGCTGAGGCTTAGGTGAGAGAACAGATGCCCAGGAGGGAAATATCACTGAGAGTCACATAACAAAAGCATACTGTCTTCTTGGGACATTGCTCTGAATAACGGTAAAAAGGTAAAAGGTAAAGACCCTCCCGTTGTTCATTGATTTCTCGAGCGGGCCCAGTAACGTCTCCATTGGAGACTTTGTTGTTACTGTGTTTGGCATATCGAATACATCACGGGTAGCTTGCCAGGCTCTGCCATGTGGGCGAGATACTCTCGGTAGCTTGCCAGGCTCTCCGAGAGGAGCGGAGGAATCAAACTCGGGTCGGCCATGTTGGCTGAGTGCAAGGCAAACGCCCTACCACTGTGCTATCACTCCAGCTCCTGAATAAACTATGCAAAGTAATTAGGGAGAAGAGAAAGACAATATTTACAAGTCAACAGAACACAAAGGAAGAAGTTACAAATAAACACAATGGAATGGGAGTACTGTGATGGTGGAAGCAACCCAATAAAACTAAACTACCTGAGGCTATGCAGGAAGGACAAAACAGTGTTATCTTACCCCCCACCCCCACCCCACTCAGCCCCCAGCACCACCTGGGTTGGCCCTGCTGGCACCCAGCACTGCAGAGCCCAACAGCACATGCTGTGACCCAAGTACTACAAAGCCCATCTTGGCCACTGCTGGGAGTGACAGCTCCGAAGAGAGACTCAACTGATGATGCAACCAATGAGGACGCAGGGCTGAAGGCCACGTGATGGCGCACCACAGACTAAGAGAAAGAGAAGCTCAACCCCTGACAGCTTGGGAAAGTAAACTGAAAAGAAGCTTGACCTTCAAAAGGATATAAATGTCAGTGTTTTCTCTAAGGCTCAGGAGAAAAGAAAAAAAAATCCTAGTAATTCCAAACAGTAACTCAAGGCAAGGAATAACTGCATTGCAGTGTAACAACCATAACAAAAACCTAACAACACTCCAGTGTGAAGTAAAAATTAATCTTGCTCTTGAATTGCGATCCTATTTCTTTTGATGCAGATTTCCAGGGGAGTCCTAGAAGCCAGGGTTGCATTTCCAAGAGATCCTCAGGCCTCCGAAAGGCAGAGTGTTAGATCTTGGGCACTCGAGGAAAAGGCCAGGAATGAGGCTGTTCATTTTGTGAGGTGGAGGAGGCGGATCTGAAGGGCGGGTTAGCACAACCCATCAGCAACTGGTGTGAGGGTTGCCAGGACAGAGCAGGAGATGGGCACTGGGGGAGAGGGGAGCTTCCCTGGAACATAATCACTGCAGGCTGGTGACTGTAATGTCCCTTGGAGATTCCAGAGTTAAAACTCTACTTAATTAGTAAC